GACTTCTTGATCGACCCCTCATCACTTAGAGTGGTTGTCCGAGCTTCACGCCACGGATTTGCGAAGTCGCATGCCGCGCTACATGTGTACCCTCGCCATGATCCGCTCGCGCACATGCAGGGTCGGAATCTGAGCAGCAAGATAACAAACGGCGATAATCCGGTCAAAGCATGGCTTCCACACCACAGCGGGTGTGTAGACTATCCGCGGCTTGATTCCTGCGCTTGCGCTACCATCGTCATGAAAGTGTGGGTCCGAGATCATCAGACGATTGCGGGAGCACATGTAGACATAATTCCTTGGTCGCGTAATTCATAAGTAGCACGAGCCTCTAGGGAATCCTGTGGCGACTCATTCAGGGACGGTTGTCTGCAAAGGGGAACTACGGAAGCAGGCGTGTGGCATTGAGTGTCACACGGAGATCTCTCCAATAGACGCCCGGCACCAGTTGCCAACGAATCCACAGCGCTTCACCCACTTTCGGGACCGGAAGCTTCCTTAGCCCTCTGACTAGAATTCTGTGTGAAGGCGACCCGGAATGTAGTATTCGAGTACTCTATGTGCTCGAGATGGCGCATCGGGGTATCAGGGTGCTAAAGCTCGTCCTGTCCATATTCACATGGAACGTACGCATCTCGACCAGCGCGCCGCATATCCGCCCATTGGCCATGTTTGACCTTGTTGAGATCGGCTCTCTTGCGCAGGTATAGTCAACAAGCGATTGAGTTGTCCTGTGGCATGCATTCTAGTCCCCCTCTACCATTGGGCGCATAGCTGCCGCCGAGTTGTCCCATGTTTCGACCTCAAAGACAGGCACACCAGATGGGACGAAAGCTGGGGACCTCCTCAGCTGCTATGCACTCTTCGTCCTTTTGCGTGACTGAGGGACTGAGGTGGGCTGTTTCGTGTAGTAGTGTATATACTAGTTACCAATGGAGGCGCAATCGCATATGTGCAGCGGGGAGGATGCGCTGTACTGTTTAAACCGTTTTGATGATATAAATTTACATGGCAGATTCTGGAAGTGTGTGTAAAGGCGACCGCTCTTTGGTTTGAGGCGCATTCGGAAAGTACGTCGTGACCTGGAGTGGTCATTAGTCGGTGTCTCTCTTGTTCGCTTGCGAACATCTCCCATCTGCAACCCACCCTCCACACCATTCTCCTCCGTCCCACACCACCTCCTCTCTGTAAGCCTCAACCCTTTCCATCAAGCCTGTGGCCCGTCTGAGATCGCACTCTGGCGCTCAGATAGAGTCAATCCTGCCCTGCGCATTCCGGTCGCTAACCTGACGTGCGCAGCCAGCGGCGGTACACTCACGCAATCGGATCGAAGCATCCAGTGCCCATCCAGCGCTCTAGACATATCTGTTGGTAAGTACATCTCTCCATAGGCCTTTGCGACCGGCTTGGGCCCGACAGGTGACTGCGACGCCGCCCCCTGGGGGTTCCGCGCTGTCGTCACCTTCTCCCTGTAGTCCGCAACTGGCCAGCGGTGACGAGCCCCCAACCGCCTCCAGCCCACCACAGGCTGCGCAGAACAACGCGAGAAGCACTCGGAAGGCCATCAAACCTCATCAGCGACCATCTGCTAACATGTCGTCCACCAGACTCGACGCCCGTTTATCCTTCCCCGACCGCCGTCCGTCCAAGCCCTTGCGACACCGGCAGGATCGGTGCGCCGCCCAACCACACACACATACACAAGCTCGTTTTAGAGGCTTTGGAATACACTCTCAACACCAGAGACATTGGCATGCAAGTTTCCAACATGCTTGCGGAACCTCGGCCTGCGGGCGCACAACGCTGCCCTGAGGTGGAAGAGCTCCTAGCGGGCCGACACCACGACGCCATGCAGATGGACTCTGGCTACGACATGCTGCCCCAGAGAGAAGACTCTGGCATCATGGACGTCTACCCGAGCACCGAAACCGGCTCGGCGCACGACTCCCTGTCGCCCTCCAAGCAGACGCCCAAGAAGCACGTCAGCTTCGAGCTGCTGCTCCCCCAGTCGCCAGCACACAAGGCCCGGCTACCCATGCGGGTCGACATATACCCGCACGACACCACAGACTCCATCATCACAACAGTCAAGAACTTCTACGGTCTGTATGAGCGTCGAGGCGTCATCTTCGAGGACCGCCACGGCAACACGCTGATTGCGCGCTTCGAGAACTTTGAACATGGCATGACCGTCTACGTCCGAGTCTCCCCAGAGACTCTTGATGCAGACGACTTCTCTCCTGATCCGCGCCAGCAGACCATCTCGCCCCGTCGCGCTCGACCCCACCTCGACGAAGCCTTCCAGATGCTACCGCCGATCCAGCATCACCAAGGCTCGAGAGCGGGGTCCCGCCATGCGCGCCAGAGCCACTCCCCACATCGTGGTCGGAGGAGCGCGTCCATCAACAAGCGCATGCGCCCGTCTATAAAGAGTCGCGGAAACAGCTCACACGGAAGCTTCGCTGACGCCAATGGCGACGGCTACAGCGACAGCGACGACGAGCATGGCTCTGTCAGCAGCTCGCGACGCTCAAGGAAAGAGCCATTGGCGAGCGCTGAGATCAGCGTTGACAACATTGTCGAGGGTGGCCGCCGAAAACGTGCCAAATTCGACAGCTCGGTAAGTACCTACAGTGGGCATGTATCGTGCATTAGTCTGACACTCGTTCCTTTCATTAGGAGCTGCCTCTGTTCGTACCGCCTCAAGTTCCCATGAATGCTTCACAGTCGTCCGTATCCCCCCAGCGACGCATCAGCGGAAACACTGCTGGCTCGCCATACTCTGCCAACCAGCAGACATTCTCATACTCGCATCCGCTGCCCTCCCCGCAGAGCTACGGTCAGGGCGACAGTTCATATCTCCAGGGACTAGTCACACCATACTCTGCGGCTAGTAGCCAGGCTCAGGGATACAAGTCTCGCGCGCGTGGCTCGGCTCAGCACTCCCACTACCGCTACTCCGGCAGCGGTGGGGTCCTTCCTACCCCTGACACCACTCTTGCGAGTATCAGCGTCATCTCTGATGAGGATGTCGCTCGTCAGCTCATGCGCTTGGGTGATGCGTCCAACTTCTCCGGCCACGGTCGCACGTCTACCTCTACGCTCGATGATGCCTTTAGCGGAAAGGCTGCAGCATCTTCAAGTGACGAGAGTGCTGATGGTAGCGATGACGAGAGTGAGCTTCCTCCTCTCCCGTACAACATGGCTCGTGCAATGAACGACCATACACGTGTCTACGACGAAGCCGAGAGCAGTGGTGAGGACTATGAGGACGACCGAGATGGCTCCTTCAAGGGTGCCAGTGATGAGATGATTGCCGATGAACACAACCACCGCGTGCACGCCGGTATCATCAAGGCTCGCTCCGTGTCGAGCAAGTCTGGCAAGTCCGGCAAGCCCCGTGCCACCTCAAAGAGCAAGTCCAAGGTCAACGGCACCACCAAGGCCCCAATGTCACCATCTTCTCTCCCCTCTCAGTCGCGCAAGGCTTCCAACGCATCGCTGAACTTCCAGCATCAGCTCGGCGTCGATGAGGAGGATCTCTCGAGTAAGCCACGCTGCCAGCGCTGCCGCAAGAGCAAGAAGGGCTGTGACCGTCAGCGACCATGCCAGCGCTGCAAAGACGCCGGCATCGGTGCCGACGGATGTGTCAGCGAAGACGAAGGCAACGGCAGGAAAGGTCGCTATGGACGCCACATGGGGGTCTCGGTCAAGAAGAACTCAGTCTCCTCGGCGACCTCCATGGCGCCTCCCCCAATGCACGACTACCACATGCCGATGCAAGACGCGTACTCCATGAGCACAGCACTGGACAAGAGCAAGAAGCGCAAGAGGTAGCGGTTACACATGGTCAACTCGCATCATGCGTCTCGCTACAAAGTAGTCTTCACCACACTTCACTCACACTCTTCTCTGGCGTTTTGAATAGCGAGCCCCTCGCATTGCATTATTGGGTGGTATCTTCAGCGACTGCCCGTCCTCTCCTTTCAACAAGAGTAAAAGTGTCTTTTCGCACGCTATTCTTATCGTTGCGCAGCGATGCGTGAGCACAAGTTGAAATTGCTATGGTGTTCCCGGTTAGAGTTGGGTGGGACTGGTCAGCGATATGGGCGGCACAGGCTGGGTAGAGGTTTTGGGCGGATTGGGAATGGAGTGTAGGGGTTGTCTATGTGCTTGCTTTGGCGACTCCATATGTTCTACTTACGACTTGTTTGATACAATAGCGATTTTGTGTGCAATAGTCAACAAAGAAATTTTAAAATCAGACGGTCGCTACATATGGTGATACAGCCATGAAATAAATGACTACTTCATACGATCAGGTATACTACCCAAAATTTAACGACTTTGTACCAACAACAGACGTCGAGGTATTCATGCATCCAGGAGGATCGTCGTCAAGGCCACTTATGTCATCTGCATGTACCTGTACGGCACGACCCTATGCACCGGTGAGGATTTGGTAACGGGCACCCGGGGGTACACAGCATAAGCGCAGGCTCTGAAACGTCATGCGAACCTCGTGCCACGACAGATGACAGTCGCGGCGACCAAGGCACGTTGATGTCATTCGATAGTCTGGGAAGGCCATGAGCTATCTACCACTAAGCCAGCACCAGAGTGTCAGCCTTGAGGATCGGTCCGGGCTATTTTGAGACGAGAGGGAAAGCTTAAGTCGGCAGGACGGGATAAAAAGGTGGGGTTGCAGCTTCAGGACTAGCGCGAACTGACAGCCAGCCCCGGAGGCTGTGCATCGTTTCTGCCTGCAATTATCCCTCGCGGTCAGGCGTGCCTCTTGTTGGGCGGACAAGCCTCGTCTCGTCATACTCACAGCTTACACGTTCCTTCACTTACTCTGCTCACTCACTCTGTAGCCTCTCTCTCACCACGCAATGAGAGGGTGCACGTCGACGGACACCACCAATTGATGCTCCTGTTGACTCCACTGAGCACCAGCCACACCTAAAACACAGACCGTAGATCACCCGAACGCGACCGTGATGGCTGAAGGGTCGATCAAGTCGAGGATTGCCGCGCTCAACCTCGAGGAGGTGCACACTCCTACACCGGGCGCCAAGCCGACCTACTCGTACGATGCTTCGACTGCAAAGAAGAAGCCACCGCCGCCGCCGCCCAGCGCGCGCCCTCCCGCCTACTCGCGCCAGACAGTCAATAACCCGCCAGTCCTGAGCAATGCGCCCACCTCCGCGCGACAACTCGGCAACCAGCCCATAGTAGTGAACGAATCCGAAAAACCAAAAGTCTCGCCCGCGCTGCCCCCTCGTCCGCCTCCGCGCAATGCCAGCACGCCTCGCCAAACGCCAACACTGCCTCCGCGCAAGGCGTCTGAATCGAGCGTGCGCAGGCGCGAGTCTTCTGAGTCAATTTCCACAATCGCGTCAGGCATATCAACGCTGTCATTGGGTTCTGTGAAGACGAATGGCTCAGGATATAGCAATGGAAGTACAGGCACGGTATATCAGGTCAGGGCTCCGGCCTATGACCCGTCAAAGCTGCCACCGCTGCCAGCCAAGAAAGCACCCGAGGACCCTAAACAGAGCAAGGCGACGTTGAATGCTATGAAGAGCAAGAGGGATTATGTGTCTCCTCGGGAACTGCCCCCTCAGCTCAAGACTCCCAGTAAGTAGACTAAAGTTGTGGCACGCATCAAGAGCACTGCTAACATGATGCCGTGCAGACCTACCGGCAAGACCCTCTCTACCTCCTAGACAGTCCATCGTTCGCGAGCGATCACCTCAGCCTGTGCCAGCGCTGCCACAGAGGCAATCCTCAAACGACACCTCTCGAACAAACAGACTGATCGCACCACCGCCGCCGCGACGGTCAGCGTTGGACATGGGCTTCAACAATAAGGCCGCTACACCCCCACCTGTGCCTTCAACTCGCCCACCAGCAGTTACATCCGATTCCGCCCCGGCTCTTGGTGCACCACCACCTGTTCCCATGTCGTCCAGACCGAACCTCAGCGCCCTCATGGCTTCCAAGCCGAAACCAGGTGCTGCTCCATCAAGTTGCCTGAAGTGTCGGGACTTCTCAGGTCCAGACAATCACGCTGCGCAGTTCCCTCGTACCCAACTTCCCAACTCAGACGTGGGCTGGCTTGCTCATCAACTATGCTCACAGTTTCCCTCACCTACAGACAAGGCTCGAGCGATCTTCACCTGGCTTCATCACAACGTCGACTACGATACTCACTCGTTCTTCAATAATTCGGTTATGCCTACTACACCCGAAAAGACAATTGCATCAGGTCTGGCAGTATGCGAAGGTTATGCCGGTCTGTTCGCTGCTCTGGCTCTGAAAGCTGGGTTGGAAGCTATGGTATGTTCCGGTGCGTGCAAGGGCTACGGCCACGCACCTTTGGAGCCTGGTCAACCTACACCACCTTATGAATCGACACATGCCTGGAACGCTGTCAAGATCGACAACGGAGAATGGAAGCTTATTGATCCCTGTTGGGGAGCTGGACACCTAGGGTGTCAGAATAAGGGCGAAGGGTAAGTTTTTCGAGATGATACTTCTTTCGCATTTCAACACCCGTCAATCAAGGGCTAACATGCACTAGATACGTACGAGCCTTTGCTCCGCAGCATTTCATCATGGACAACAACGAGTTCGGTTTGAAGCACTACCCTGGAGAAGCCTCTCACCAGTTCCGCACCGATGGACGCATCATGTCATACGAAGAGTTCATGCGACATGACGAGGGCGGGCGCCTCTTCCTCTGCGGCAATGGCATGAAGCTCCACGGCTTCGGCGAGCAAACCTTTGAACCATCACAAGCCAAGATCAAAGTAAACGACCCCTACGCACCAGCGGTAGTCCGGTTTCAAATGTCATTCATCTGCCCGCACTGGGATCCCCAGATCAACGGAAAGGGCCCGCCCTACATTATGCTCCTAAGCATTGCCGGCAGAGACGGCCGGAAGCCAGACTACAAGCCGTTGAACACTGACGGGCGCACTTGGTGGCTCGACTGCCCGCGCATGGACCTCGGTGCGCCGGGCCAGAAGATTTCGATTGTGGCCGTAACAGAATTTAATAAGAAGGATGCACGGGGTTTGAGCCTGGCTACTTGGAACAACAAGAGGGCATACTCGTGTATGTTTGGCGCAGTGGCCACGTGGGAGCTTGTTTGATGCGGGGCTGGGAATGTCGCGTTATCAGTCGAGGCGCACGCGACTTGCGCCTCGCGGTTGATGGAGCGCGATGACATGGAACGATTGTATGGATACCCTGGACTTTTTGATTTGCTTTTAGGTGATGAGGCGGGCTTAGTTAGATGCATACGCGTAATGAACATGAGTTATTCTTCCTTCTGTCTCCTTTCCAAGCGCACGTCATTCAAGGGAAAGTTGAGCGCGTGCCTCGCTGGGTACCATGACAGAGAGAAGATACACCAGAAGTCTAGCTTGCTCTTACACATTCCAAAAGATCCAGCATCTCAAGCTCTTGTAGTCTTTACCCCCTATTCGCTTTCGTTCGTTTTCTTCCATGTGCAGGGTACCTTGGCGCAACTTGTAACCGGGTGTCCCTTTTATGCTGAGCATGTGAAGACGGCCGTTGAGGCTAGACTGTGGCTGACCACTGCGTTAGCGCGAAAGCACGACCCGCGAAATAGTTAGGTTGGGGTTACAACGGACTCGGGATCACCGCTCCACCTCCAACACGTCCGATCTACCGCAAACATGGCGAGCGCTTTCGTCGGATTGTCGGTCGCGGTCACGCTGCAGTCTCCCCCAGGTGCTGTCGTCGTGGGCGTGGTCAGCGCCGTGGACCAGCAGACAGCTACACTCGTTCTCCAAGATGGTACACCGCAGCCAGAATTCGTGAATATGGGCATACGCTGACGTCTTCAGTCTTCTTCCCAAACTCGGGTCACCGTGTCGCTTCCTACACGGTAGAGGGCCAAATGATTGCAGACATCAAGGTCAATCCGTCCGCGCCCGCTCCTCCCCAACCTCTGCCCACGCGATCAGGCCCGCAGGCATACTCACACTCGCAGTATCCTCCGGGCCATATCCAGCGCCAGTCGCAGCATATGGGCCAACAAGTTCCGCATCTTGTTAGCCAGCCGTCCGGGATCCCGCCTGCAGGCGCACCTGCCTACCAGAATGCTCGTCAAGCGCCTCGCCAGACTGCTCCTCAGCCAGCTCCGGCCGCGCCGTTTGTCGATCCTGCGATTCTCAGTATGGGAAAGCGCACTTCTACCGCCCCTATCTTGGGTGGTCCTGTTTCCGCAACCCCCCAGGAAGCCCCTGCGACGCCTATAAAGCCCGTGGCTGCTGCGAGCGCGGCGACTGTACCGAAGAACACGTCCTCGTTCGCAAGCCATGCGAAGCAACACAACGTCCGAAAGCCGAGTGCGGCGACTCTGGAAGGCCCATTCTCGTCGCTGGATATTGCGGACGCTGAGGAGGCGGACAGTGAGGCGCGGACAGCACAGGTGAATGCGCGAAGGGCAAGCATCACCAAGACGAGGACCGGCAAGCCTATGGATGACCCCAGCCCGCAGAAGAACGACGACAATGGCAAGAAGACTCGAAGAGGGGGCAAGTCTCGTAAGAAGGAACTTGCCGCTCAAGAGAGGAAGAACGGTGATGTTGAGGCGGTCAAGAAAGGGTATGTGGGATTCTGGGTTCCATGTCCTTTGTCGCATATCCAGGAGCTAACATCTACTAGCAAAGGCAATGGTTGGAGAAACACTCCCATGCTACAAGCCGCCGAACAGCCACAGACGAGAACTCCCGGAGTCATCGGCGGCAGAGTCGGTCTCGCAGCGGCGAACGCGTCGAATCGCAAAACCAAACGGCAACAGGCGCTCGAAGCTACGAACGGCTGGGCTACGGAAGATGCGACCGATATCCAGGACATGCCTGAGTTCGACTTCCAGAGTAACCTCTCCAAATTTGACAAGCGTACGGTGTTCAATCAGATTAGGAATGAGGACACCACTGCAGACGAGGACCGCCTGGTCAGCTTCAATCGCTTGGCAAGACCTGGTACACACGGAGGAAAGAACCTTCATCCTACGGAAAACGTGTTGGATCGGAAGCTGAAAAGCACGACCAACACAAGCTCTGAGGAAGAAGAGGAGGACTTTGGCAGCGGACGTAACTCTAGACGGGCAATGTCCAGGGCTTCAGTCAAGATGGCACCAACACGGCAAGGCAGCGTACAAGCCGACATGGATATGATGGGCTCAGGCGTGTTGCCGCGCACTAACCGTTCGTTCATCAACCGCCCCTACACGTCCTCACACGCTACCGGTAGCCCCAGGCCAGGGCGCGTTGCTACACCACCAGAGTCGCCTCTCGAGTCTAGCGCTAAGGGCTGCTTACGACTGGTGTCTAACAACCGCAAGTGTTTCGCTATTACTCCTGGCGCTATGCTGGCAGTGGAAGAGACCGCTGAGGTAGATTTCGGCCTCAACGAAGACATCATGGCTGAGAACTCTGGACGAGGTATCGCAGAAGTTGCTCTGACTGCTATAAATCCCGGAGGCATGCGTCTTTCGCGCGCCAATCCAAACGCCAACCCCGTTATTGTAGTTCTCGCAGGCAACCACCGCGGCGGCGCACGCGCAGTAGCAGCGGCACGGCACCTCGCCCAACGCGGGCCAAAAGTCATGGTCGCCCTCCTCGGCTTCGAACGCAACGCAGACTGGGATAAGGACATACGCCGTCAAGTCGAGCTCTTCCGCAAATTCGGCGGCACCGTCCGCTCCTGGAACGCTACAGAAGAAGCCCTAAAGCGTCTTCAAGCACCACCGGAACTTATTATTGATGCTCTGCTCGGCCGCCACAAGGAATTTGAAGCCCTTGGCGACCAAGACCAACGCGTTGTTCTCAATATCGTCGGCTGGGCCAACAAATCGCGTGCAGCATGCCTCGCGGTTGAAACACCCTCTGGCGTCGGCGGTTCGACAGGCGAAGTCTCCATACTAGAAGGCGAGCCCCTCGAAGTCCGCGCAAAGTACATCGTTTGTCTCGGCGCGCCACGCACAGGGCTCGTCAAAGCGCTACAAAATGGCTCCGGACGCGATCCGCAGTGGCTTATCTGGATCGTGGATATCGGCGTCAATCGTCCTTGGCGTAACGCTGGTATCAGCGGGGGTAAAGGCATCAAGTTCGGCGAACAGTGGGTCGTCCAGGCTGTTTTTGAGGAGCCTGGTGGTATACCGGGGGCTTAGGATACCGAGGTGTTACCAGCTGAAGAAACAGAAGAAGTAGAGCGGAGCCCAGCAGAGCGAGAGCGAAGACGGAAGCATTACTTTGCGACACAAACCAAGAAACTTATGGCGAAACAGTGGAGGAGTGGGTTTGATTGAGTGTGGCTGATGGAGACATCGAGGATTGGTTTTTGCATTGCGTGGGCGTTTGAGGTATTGATATGTGAGAGGGCTTTGGATGCTCTTTTGCTTGTATTTGGGGTTGGGGATAGGATGAATTAACGGCATTATGGTTTGGGTTAAGTTGGGATGGAATGGGGATACCAAAAGCTAGATATCGTTGAGTAGGATGTGCTCGAGAGGCAGTGGTGTGCGTGGATAGCATGCCACGGTAATACATTATACTGAAGAATTGTGTGTTTCTCATGTTTCTAAAATTCCGAGACACAGAGGTCTACACTGCTATTCAATCGTATAAAACCGCATCTCCAACTCCTTTTTCGACTGCAAAGACCCGGTCCCAGCCAAACATTGAGCACCACTAACTATTCCATGCCCTCTCTCCACCCAATCCCGTAACAAATTCAAGCACCCTCCTCACAAGATCCTGCACAACCTCTTCCGGATCCCCATCAAGATTATGATGTGCACCCGGTACCACACCACCATCTTCATCATCCACAACACCACCGCCTTCCCGTATTATCCTTGTCCAGCGCTGGAGTAGGGCTGCTCGGTCGATGCTCGCGGGGACGTAGGGGTCGTCGGAGCCGAGGAGGAAGCAGACGGGTGTTGTTGGTGGTATACGGCCGAATGTTGAGGTGAAGTGGGAGTCGGGCAGATCGCTGGAGAAGTAGTCGTCGTCGCCACCTTTAGCGAGGAGGGAGTATGCGCGGTAGGCGTTGAGTGGGCCGCCCATATCTTTGAAGACGGAATTTCTTTCTGGTGATAAGATTTCTTCGCCTTTGCCTGCGTCTACTAGTTCTTTGGATGACCGGATCGCGTCTTCTAGTTGCTTTCTCCTTTCCCCTTCTTTGTAGTAATCTTCCCACGCCTCCCTATCACTTACACCACCCTGTAGTATCACGCCATCTACTTTGTCCCTCCCCTCTGCTCCCTTGCCAAGCATGTATTCCATGATATCCTGACACCCCGTTGAATGTCCCATAAGCACAATCTTCTTGCCCGGTCTCAGCTTCTTGAAATGTGCCACACATTCCCCTAGTTCAGTCGCGTCGCGCGCCAGGCTACCGGTGCCCCAGCCGCTGTACGAGGATGTGAGGAGGATTTCGGCGAGAGACCAGGTGGGTGGGAGTGATGCGGCAATTAGGGAAGGGTAGGGGACGGTGAGGAGGCCGTCTGTCAGCCCGCCTATCCAGAGGATGGTGTTGTAGGAGGACGAAGGGTGAGGCGAGGCATGTTCGAAGGCGATGAGGCCTTTGGTGTATTTATGGGCGGTGCCAGGGTGCGCCATCTTCGCGTTGAGGTTTAGATATAAAAGACAAACGCGGGTTGTGGTATTTTGAGATGATTATTTCGAAGTTCAGCAATACGACGCGTAAATTGAAAGATGAGACGGATTGCCTGAGGACGCGATGGCTGGAGCTCGACGCGACAGGTTGGTGGGGGTGCAGATCAGAATCTTATCAGATGGTGGGGTAGCTTCTCAACGCCGAACCTTCTCCGCGAGCCCCCACACGCTCTCCATCTTGGCGGCCATGCACGTAGCTCTTGCTCTCCCACTCTCTCATCGTGGTGTCCAACCCAGATCGAGCCGAACCCAGGTCGCCTTAATTCTTTGTGACTTTCAATTGCCGCTTTCGAAGATGCGCTCTCCATGTCGGGTCGTCTTCGTTTGACAATTTGCCCAAGTTACGTATAATATCTATCTTCAGTCCGGTTTCCGCTGCTGCTGCTCCTGGCTTGTGAGGCGAAAAACACAAGGATTTGACGTATCTGGTTCGTACCATCGTTTTACAGTGCTCGCAATGTACGCGATGGGTTTGGTCCTGCTTTTCTGCTTTGACGACCCCGGTCTCGGCATCGACTAACCGGTTTATGGTGCTTTCCTCAGAAATTTGTCTGTGAAGACACGCTGTGAAATCGATTTTTTGTAGGACTCTACGCGCTTCTGTATGTAAACCCGAGCCTTTTGCTTTCGAAAAGCCTATGGTTATGTCACTTCTCATGACATAGTCTCCAGACGTCTGATCGTATGTGACGGCACAATTGGTGAAGTATATCTGGCTTTTTTTCAACTCTGTTTCGCAAGTATAGCACCGGAGACCAAAGTACATGGCCTGCCTACCCCTAAGAGATACAGCTCTTTCTACCTTATCTCTCAAGTAGTCCAGAGAGTAAGACCTGTGTGGGCACAGTCTGAGTGTAGAGGAACATTTGCGTTCCTGCCGTGGGCGACAGAGCATGCTCTCGATGAAGTGCGTATCCTTGTGTACATCTGCACAATAAACGCACCAGATCCCCGGTCGTTTGTGGGCTTCTCTGTAGAAGTCGTCTCTCAGAAGCCGAAGATAGACGTCGATCTTGGTATCGCCGACTTTCTCTTCTGGAACAGTGATGGATGGGAAACTTTGGAAGAACTTGGCGCCTGACAGCGCAAAGCAAGTCTTCTCGGCGTGATCCAAGTACCCCCGGATATGGGCTAGGACCTCGTAGGGAAGGGCGTATAGTGGACTTCTCTTTGCATTGATTTTGTAACGTTTCTCAGCGCACGAAACGGAGGTTTCCAGCTGAGACATGATTGTTGAGGCAGGCGAGTAGTGAATGTAAGTGTGAAGCTACATGAGATATTGAGATTCTCCCAGATGTGTGCGAGTCCATGTGGCTCCGCACAAACTTCGTGGTAGCGAAGGTACCATAGCCAGTCGAAGGCTCAGACAATCACGGGTGTGTGCCATCAACTCACACTCTGGGTACCGCTCCATAACTGCAATAGCGGCCTAACGGTAGAAATGAGCGTGTCTCGCCATCTCCTCCACAAGCGCAAGGGCTTCGTGCCCAGTTGATGATCACCACGGCGGCAATCGGTCATTCATGCCCAAAGTCGTATTGTTGGGTAATGAGCTCTGGGCGCGTAGGTGAGGTCCGATTGTCGAGTGCCGAGATCGAAAAAGTAAGCATGGTCATATACAAGAAATCCAGTCTCCCGGACCTGTTCCGCAAGAGGCTCGTCGTAGTTTTCAATGCTTGGTGTAGGAGTGGTCGGAAGACCGAAACTTGGTACGGCATCGCCCAGAAAAGGAAGCCGGCACCTATGCTTGCTGACATCTCGGGGTTCGGGGGAAGGAGCGACCCCACAGTAACGCAAAGCTACCCCTCACGCATCTGCGCAACCCCACTTAGAGCACTGGAGCTCTCCAAGTGCCTGGAAACAAAACGGAACGCGGACGCGATTCCGTGTGGCCACTGGCTATGTCGGCATATGTCAAATGACACGAAGGAATGGTGGAATGATTGCTTGTCGTCGGGTCGGGTATTGAAGGTTTCTTGGTCTTTCGTCATGCTACTTTTGCGATTTCCATCCGCTGTGTTCCGTCGTTCTACACCAATTCGCGCACTCCACTGAGCTGGACATATAGTAATCACAATGTCATGTATGCATTCCCATCAAAACCTATGCGAGCAGATAGTTAACGTACTCAGCGAGACACTTCATCCACGACCCGACACACCTCGTCAACACCGCGCTACTCAGCATCCCTCAGACGAACCCATCCGTGCAATGCGACATCAACAACAAGATCGTCTACCGCAAGAATGGCGCATCGCAAGTCAGCATAGTTTCCGGAGGTGGTAGTGGTCACGAACCCTCATTCGCATCCTTTGTCGGCGCGGGCCTTTTATCCGGAGCAGTCGCAGGTACCATCTTCGCTTCGCCAAGTGCAGAGCAGGTGCGAAGATGTATCTTGCATCGCATTCAAAAAGACAAGGGCGTCCTCGTGATTGTAATGAACTACACTGGCGATGTGCTGAACTTCGGCATGGCGGTGGAGAAAGCGCGCGCTGCTGGTATTGAAGTCGACATGGTGGTAGTCGGCGACGATGCGGGTGTAGGGCGTGCGAAAGGAGGTAAGGTCGGACGCAGAGGTATTGCGGGAACAGTGCTCGTTCAGAAGATTGCCGGTGGGCTTGCTGCTAAAGGGTATGCACCACACCAACATCATGCCTATAAGGAAGCTGACATCCTTGTAGAGCGAATCTCAAAGATGTAACGCAGATGGCCCAGCTCGTCGCAGACAACACCGTCTCGATCGGCTCTTCACTGGCTCACGTCCACGTGCCAGGTCGCCGAGAGGCAGAGGAAGACGAGCTGGCTGAAGGCCTAGTCGAGATTGGAATGGGCATCCATAATGAAGCCGGTTCAGAGCGCAAGAAGATCGATCTACCTGGTCTTGTAAAGACAATGTTGTCGCATTGCCTGGACGTAGCGGACCAGGACCGAAGCTTCTCCAAGATCACCGACAAGGACGATGTGGTACTACTGGTCAACAACCTGGGAGGTGTCAGTCCACTCGAGCTAAGCGGAATCACGAACGAAGTCGTCGAGCAATTGGCGGATAGCTTCAAGATCAAGCCAGTGCGTATTCTAGCTGGCACCTTCATGACCAGTTTGAACGGATTGGGCTTCTCCATTAGCTTGCTTAGAGTCGCCGACGCTTCAATGCTCGAGCTGCTTGATGCGCCTGCCGAGGCAAGTGGCTGGTCTGCGGCGATTAGTAGCAGCACATGGGCGAGACGGGGAGAAGCGAAGAAGAACGAGGAGCAGGTGGATGAAGAGGATATTCAGCCAAGTGATCTGAGAGGTAAGTACCTGCAGAGCTGCGTATGACGCCCGCTAACTTGAGTAGTCAACTATGCCCAGGCCAAGTCAACCTTGACAGTTGCGCTGAACAGACTCATCAAGGCTGAGCCAGACGTCACCCGATATGACACAATAGTCGGAGATGGCGATTGCGGAATCGGACTCAAGCGCGGCGCAGAAGGTAGGCTATCATCACGTGTGCATTGATGCCTGGCGCTGACATCCAACAGCAATTCTCAAGATGCTCGAAGCGGCAAAGGAGACAGATGATCTGCTGATCCTCATGAATCACATCATTCAAGTGGTGGAACTGGCTATGGACGGCACGTCAGGTGCAATCTACGCCATCTTCTTGAATGCGCTGGCGCATGGATTGCGACAAAACGCGCCCTCGTCGCCACAGCCTGTCACACCCGCAATCTGGGCCAAGGCCCTTGACTCATCGCTCAAGGCACTGGGCAAATACACTCCTGCCAAACCCGGTGACCGAACGCTGATGGATGCCCTCTATCCGTTCGTTGAGACGCTGTCTAAGACGGAAAGTATCGACAAAGCGGCTGCGGCGGCACAAGGTGGCGCGCAAGGGACGAAGGGTATGAAAGCGAGCTTGGGGCGAACGGTCTACGTTGGAGGCGAGGGTTTCCAAGAGGTTCCAGACCCTGGCGCGCATGGCCTCGCGGAGCTCCTACTGGGCCTGAGTGACGGGTTGAAGAAGTAGAAGTTGGGGTATCGTTGTTTGATTCGTTCGGTGTTCCTCGCCGATTTCGCGACGGTTATGTAACTTTTAATTCATTCCAACTCCATTTCGTGCGCTCGATCTGGCGCTACCGTCCCAAATCCCCAGTGCTTCCAAGCTCTTATGATAGCAATACAAGAATGACCGAGTCGCCGCGTAGGAACCTATAAAAGTCAGCGCATGCGCAAATGTAGAGTGTAATTTGAACGCACAGCTTGGAGATGAAGCGGTCCTTGTTGACCTTCCTTCCGTAGCTGCCGTTGGCTAACCGTGGAGTCTCAGTCCACATCTCTTTCGCGTTCTCGAGAACCATGTTGCAATGACGGTCGAAAGCCTTGACACGTGCGAGAATCTTGCGGTTGTTTCGGCACGAGATCAGGACTTGTGTGCGCGAGCGGACGGCGGTCTGGAGGATGGAGAGGGGGCCGGTGGTGAGCTCATGTTCTTCGACCTGAGCAACTTCGTACTCGCTAGGCAGCAATGTCAGCACAGGAATTGTTGTGGATTGGAGGGTGTACGTACGTCAACTCCGAACGCGGCTTGGATAGAAGCTCTCTGCGCAAGGTTAGCTCATATAGCGGTGAATGTTCTAGCAGTAATACATACTGAATCTTTGCGTCCACCATGGCGTCGATTTGTGCAAGGTAGCAGGGGGAGGTTTGCTATCTGGGGTTGGAGCTGTTACAGGTTAACTTTCCAGCTCTCGAGCTTCTGCCTGCGAATTTTGATATACGATGCTCAGGGAAGTAGCGCGCAAGGATGGGGCAGCGCAAAAGATATGCACAGACCAAGAGCGGAGAGACTGACCTAGTTTTAGAAAGGAGGAACACCACGGCAACGCGCTTGGATGAGGTGGATCGGTCGGCGACGATATGAGGCAGGGCGATGAAGTGAGCGAGCTTGGCAGAATCGGATC